TTTAACCGCGCGAGGCACGGATGGTAACATATTATTTGTGAAGCAACAAATAAATAAGAATAGGTAAGACAAAGACTCACATTCTTTAATTAAGTGCAAAATTTACCTCTAATTACAATTACTGATAAATATTATTATTAGTATTTTTTTTTCTCACTAACTCATTCTCAATTTAAAAGAAGGTTCCCCATAATTTTCCAATTTATTATTATAAAAAAATATTATGTAAATTCAATAAGATCTTATTATCGCGCGCAAAGCACAAACCTATTTACTAGTTGATATGAAAATTCTGAAGGATTCAAAATGCTTAAAACATATACAAGTTTTAATTTTTTTTTGTATATAATCCTCATTGAATTAAATTTATTAATATTGTTATACTAGAAATCTTCTTGATGAATATTTATTGACGTAGAGTATAAAAATGACTTTATTTATCCTTAATCTTTCATATTGTTATGCAAGCTAATGACTTGAATTGAAAATCTCAAAGGGTTTCCAAAAATAATAGATTATCTATTAAAATGAGAATCTTGTAGAATTTAGATTATTTTTTCAATATCAAATCAACACTTATGATTTTAATATCGATTTAATTTGATTTAGCAAATTGACATGATTAATCAATTTTCTTTAAACACTCCTAATTATAGGACTATTTCAAAGAGCAGTAGGATAAAAGAAAATGAGAAAGAAGATTAAAAAAAAGGAAACGAAAGGACATAGTGGAAACTAAAAAGAAAAAAAGAGAAAATAGTTTGTATTTAATTGAGAGTGATTATGCTTAATTAGTGAGAGATAGTTTAATAAATATAAATTTATGATAAAAATATTTTATCTTGAGTTTTTTTTGAAAAAAGTGTTTCTGTTGTAAAATAAGAGGAAAATACAAGATTACTTAAACAATATAGGGAGACAAAATAGTGATGGAAGGTATAAAGTAGAGTCTTATTTTAATCTCTTCAATTGTGACCTTCTTAAGGGTAAAGAATACCCTTTTATAGGATGTAAAATTCATCTGTTTACAATGTTAAGCAAAATACGTTAGAAGATCTTTAAGTGGTACATTAAATGGGGCATTACGTTAGCTGTAGATTGAAAAGAAACATCCACACAATTAAATGGATTTGTAACACTCCCCCTTAGATGTTTATAGATAATGTGTCTCGTTAGAACCTTACTAGGAAAAATTCAGTGGGAAAAATCCTAGTGAAGGAAAAAGACTACGCATATCTTGTAATACGCCTTGAGTGTTGCCTCATTAAAAACCTTACCAGGAAATTCAATGGGACAAAACCTTGGTTAAGGTAAAAGAGTACAATGCGTATTTTACTCCCCCTGATGAAAACTTTATTTGATATCTCGGAGACGATGCATTCCAATCTTATATCTTAACTTCTCAAATGTTGATGTTGGCAATGCCTTAGTGAATAAATCTACAAGATTATCACTCGAACGAATTTGTTGAACATTTATCTCACCATTTTGTTGAATATCATGTGTGGAATTTTTTTTTAGGTGAAATATGTTTTGTTCGGTCTCCTTTGATATATCCTCCCTTTAATTGAGCTATGCAAGCAACAATATCTTCATACAATATTGTTGGAGTCTTTGTTTGCACAGAAAGACCGCATAATTGCAAAATGTGTTGAGTTATTAATCTCAACCATACACACTCTAGACTGGCTTCATGAATGGCTATTACCTCTGCATGATTTGAAGAAGTAGCAACTATTGTTTTCTTCATCGAACGCCATGATATAGTTGTACCTCCATATGTGAATAAATAGCTTGTCTGAGATTGGAATTTATGTGGGTCAGGCAAATAGCCAGCACCTGCATAATCGATCAATTTTGACTTGGATGCATTAGAATACAACAATCTCATATCAATTGTTCCTTGAAGATATCTGAATATATGCTTAACACTTTTCCAATGTCTTCTTGTTGGACATGAACTGAATCTCGCCAATAAACTTACTGTGAAATAAATATCTGGTTGGGTATTATTAGCAAGGTACATTAGTGCCCCAGTAGCACTGAGATATGGAGTTTCATTACCAAGAAGCTCTTCATCCTTTTCTTGGGGTTGGAATGAATCTTTATTTATGTCAAGAGATCTCACAACCATCGGGGTACTCAATGGGTGTGATTTATCCATGTAAAATCGCTTCAAAACCTTTTCAGTATATGTTGATTGATGGATAAATATTTCATTTGTCAAATGTTCAATCTGAAGGCCAAGACAAAATTTTGTCTTACCAAGATCTTTCATTTCAAATTCTTTCTTCAAACACTCAACAACTTTTGAAAGCTCTTCAAGAGTTCCAATGATGTTCAACTCATCAACATAAACATTTATTATTACAAATTAAGATTTTGACCTTCGTATAAAAATACAAGGACAAATAGGGTCATTCTTATACCCTTCCTTTAGCAAGTATTCGCTAAGACGATTATACCACATTCACCCTGATTGTTTCAACCCATATAAGGATTTTTGAAGCTTTATTGAACAATTTTCTTTTGAATTTTTATATGCTTCAGGCACTTTGAGTGCTTCAGGAATTTTCATAAAAATATTGTGGTCTAGTAGTGAGCCATATAAATAGGTTGTGACAACGTCCATTAGATGCATTTCAAGATTTTCATGAACTGTCATATTTCTTAGATATCTGAAGATAATTGCATCTACCATAGGAGAATATGTCTACTCATAATCAATGCCATGCCTTTGCGAAAATTCTTGTGCCACAAGTCGTGCGTTATATCTTACTACTTCACCATTTCATTGAGTTTTCACACAAAAACCCACTTGTACACAATTGGCTTGACACATTCAGGTGTTCGGACTTTTGGTCCAAAAAACTTCACGTTTTTCAAGTGAAGCCAATTTTGTTTGAATTGCTTCCTTCCATTTTGACCAATCATTTCTCTGTCTACATTCATTGATAGATCTTGGTTCTAAATCCTCATCTTGTTGCATTATTTCAATTGCAACATTATAGGCAAAAATATTATCTACTACAATATTATTTCGATTCCACATTTTTCTTGTCGAGACATAATTTATAGAGATTTCCTTATTCTCATTATTTTCAGGTACATGAACCTCCTCTGTGGTGTCATCATTTCTTATGTATTGGAGCTTTTCATGAGAAATTGCCTCTATATTATGATCATCTTGATCATTTATTCCTTTCCTTTTTCGAGGATTTTTATCCTTGGAACCAATTGGTCTACCACGTTTTAAGCATGGTCCAGACTCTTTTGCCTTAACATTTTGTCCTATCGGGACATCAACTCAAACTTGAGTATTAGCAGTTGGGATGTATGATTTAGTAACCCTTGGAAGGTTAGTAAATGCATCCGACAATTGATTTGCAATATTCTGCAAATAAATTATCTTTTGAACTTCTTGCTCATATTGATTTGTTCGAGGATCTAAATGAGATAGTGAAAGTGAATTCCAATCTATCTCATTTCCCAATTGCTTTTGTTCTCTCCCTAATATTGGGTATACTGATTCATCAAAATGACAATCAGCAAATCTTACAGTAAATAAATCTCCAGTTCTAGGTTCTAAATATTTTATAATAGAACGAGATTCATACCCAACATATATTCCCAAAATTTTTTGGGGACCTATCTTTGTGCATTGTGGTGGAGCAATTGGAACATATACCGCACAACTAAAGATTCTAAGATGGAAAATGTTTGGCTCCTGACCAAAAAATAATTGCAATGGGGAGATGTCATGATAACTGGTTGGCCTTATGCGCACAAGTGCCGCTGCATGCAAAATAGCATACTCCCAAACTGTAACAGGCAACTTTGTCCTCATCAACAATGGTCTAGCTATCAATTGAAGACGTTTAATCAATGACTCTGCTAAATCATTTTGAGTATGAACATGTGCAACAGGATATTCAACTGTTATTCCAGTGGACAAACAATAATCATTAAATGCCTGAGATGTAAACTTATCAGCATTATCAAGACGAATTGTTTTTATTGCATAATCTGAAAATTGTATTTTTAACCTTATTATTTGAGCCAACAACCTCGCAAAAGCCATATTGCGAGTTGACAATAAGCACACATGTGACCATCTTGTAGATGCATCTATCAAGACCATATAATAATTAAATGGTCCACATGCAGGGTGAATAGGTCCACATATATCACCTTGTATCTGTTCCAGAAATATAGGGGATTCCACCCCAACCTTAGCCATTGATGGTTTGATAACCAACTTTCCTTGTTGAACAAGCAAACAAGAGAATTCCTTTGATTGAAGAACATTTTGGTTCTTCAAAGTATGCCCATGTGAATTCTCAATTATTCTGCGCATCATATTATAATCGGGATGGCCCAACCGGTCATGCCAAATGATAATCATTAGAACCAATAAACCCTTTGTTTACTACATCATGTGATTCAACCGTACCAATATTTGTATGGTACAACCCAGAAGAAAGTGCAAACAATTTTTCATGCACCATTTTCTTCTCCGCATTTATTGTAATATAAAGGTATTCCACCGTTCCTTCATTTGCAGTCTCAACATGATAGCCATTTTGGCAAATAACCTTGAAACTTAAAAAAGTTTCTTTGAGATTTACTACAATACAATGCATTATTAATTATCAATAATGTTCCTCGAGGTAGTAATAAGGTCGCTCTTCTAGTGCCCTCAATCAATTATTTACTACCGGATATTGTAATAACATATGCCTTTTTTAAAATCGAATGAGAGAAATATTTCTCTTCTTTTAGGACTGTATGAGTTGTGACACTGTCCAGGAGGTACATATCTCCATTACTCATCTTGGATCCAACTGAAGACTCTGGAAATTTTATTTATCTTCATAAGAATAAAAATACATAATAAGAAGTACGAAACTTAACAAAGGAAAATTTAAATACATGAACTTTAAGTAAGACATTAAAAACACATAACAACATTGTTCATTTCCCAATTTAATTATCAATCTTTAGTTGCGATCCTCAAAGAAGTCCTCAGCTTCTAGATGAGTAATATTATCGAGCCCATCAAAAGCATCACCTTTCAATGCTAAATTCACCTCAACATTCTCATCATATTTGTGAGAAGACCCTGCCTGAGCATCATCTTTGAGAGTCAAATGTTACTCTACTCGAGCATTAGAAGAGGAGGCACCTCCTTTATTTCCTTTCTTTTTAAAGGAATTTTGATACAGCCTGACAAAATGCTCAGGTGCCCGATATTCATTTTTCCAATGATCTTTAAGGCCACAACGATGACGGTGATCGCTCTTTCCTTTAGAAGGATTATTTTGAGAACCCATATTGTTTTCTCTTTTGTTATAACCACCACCTCTACGATTATTATATCGTCTTTTGTCTTTGCCACGCCCGCACATATTATCATGGCCCCTATTATTTTGTCTTATTTCAGACTGGCCATGTGCTTTTATCCTGTGTGCCTCCGGTAATGGAGCACTTTCAGTGGGACGAGCTTCATGATTTTTCATTAAAAGGTCATCATTATGCTGCTCAGCCATTAGAAGACATGAGATTAATTTAAAGTATTTTTTAAAACCCTTTTCACGGTATTGCTGCTGTAATATCATATTGGAGGCATGAAAAGTAGTTTGTGTCTTTTCCAACATGTCCTCATCTTTTATAACTTCCCCACATAATTTTAATTGGGAAGTGATTCTAAATACAACAAAGTTATACTCAATTATGGTTTTATAATCTTGAAATTGTAAGTTCATCCACTCATAACGAGCCCTTGGCAATACCATTGCCTTGAGGTGGTCATACCTCCCTTTCAAGCCTATCCACAATTCAAGTGGATCTTTCACTGTTAAGTATTCAACCTTCAGACTTTCATCAAGATGATGACGAAGGAAAATCACGATGACGAAGGAAAATCACAACTTTCGCTTTATCTTGACTTGATGTTTTATTTCTTTCGATTATACTATCACCAAGACCCTTAGCGGTAAGGTGAATTTCATCATCAAGTACCCATGACAAATAGTTTTTTCCAGAAATGTCAAGTGCCACACATGATGAAAACTATCACAAAATAGTTGAGTTAATAACATGATTTTGATTTCTTTATGATAAAATATAAATTAATGTTTCAAATGATTAAGAATTAGTATAAAATATATTATATGCATGGACATGAAATGTTACAAAAGCATGTAAACTCATAAAGTATGAAACGGTAAATTTAATATATATTCTAATTATTTTACAATATTTATTACTAGTTCAATAGTTATTAACGCCAAAGTTTAGTAACATTTTCAAGTCATATTTAATATAATACTATTCTTCTTCTTTATGACACACCAATATACTTATCATAATGTATGAAAATACTTACGAGTTATTTTAACTAGCATGCTATCATATTACTTAGTAATTAATTTAGAGTTATAAGTTAGTAGCATATAAATAACATAACAATATAAACATGAAACGTATTGATTATTATGCCTAGTAAAGTATCATAATAATAGCTAAATCAAGTTATATACGCATTATTTAAATTATAGATCAAAGATGTATGCAAATTCAACATATAAATGTATACCTGGCTCTAAATGAAAATTGATTAACTTTTAGGAAAAAAAGATAATACCGAATTAAGTAGGTCTCAATTGGTTAGAGTCTCGTGCTGATAACATGTTGTAAAATAAGAGAAAAATATAAGAATCCTTAGGCAATATAGGGAGACAAAATAGTGATGAAAGGTATAAAGTAGAGTCTTATTTTAATCTCTTCAATTGTGTCCTTCTTAAGGGTAAAGAATACCCTTTTATAGGATGTAAAATTCATCCGTTTACAGTGTTAAACAAAATACGTTAGAAGATCTTTAAGTGATACATTAAATGGGACATTACGTTAGGTGTAGATTGAAAAGAAACATCCAGACATTTAAATGAATTTGTAACAGCTTCTACTTTTTAAAATTATAACTTATTCTCAATAACAAAAAAGCTCTTTCGGCTTAAAAGAACATGTTCTTATTAGCCAAACAACTCAAAAAAGAAGATATATATACTATTATTTTTTTTTTTTTAAAAAAACTTTTTAGTCTCCAAGAACTTTGACCTATTTTTTTATTTGGTTTAATATATCGAATGACCTTTTAAACTTATCTGTAAATTTCGTTTAGATATTTGAATTGCGCCTTCACATGATCTAGTGTTCGTATTAGGTATTTATGATTCAAATTTTGACAATTTTTTTGAGCTTGTCCTCAAGTAATTGTTATATAAATAAGTTAATTATTTAAAGTAAATCATCTCATTAATTATATACATATTAGCATCAACTTCATGTGTGTTCTAATTAAAATAGTTATATATAATTAAATAAGATAAATTATTTTATGTGATTGATTTAACTATATAATAGATACTTAAAAAAATAGTATACATACAAAAGTCTGTTTATAAAATTTAAATAAAGATATATATAAAAATTAAAATTGAAAAAAAGAAGAATTCATTCTTAAAACTTTTTGCAACTGGCTACTGTAGTGGAGAATAGAACTCCAAGCGTATTTCCATTCACAGCCGTCCGATTCTTTGGTGGACGTATCCTGACCGTTATGCTCCTCTTTTCCTGGTCAACATCATGGATTCCCTCGTTTTTTCTTTTTCACCACGGAATTCAAATATATATTAAATATAGTTTATAATTCTTCCCTACTCTCCTCTTCATAGCAAAATCCTTCACTCGCGATATTATAATGCCACGTCATCCTTGAACATTTTTACACCGTCGATTTCATAGATTGAACCCTTTTTAGCGCGTGGCAAGTTCATAACAGAGAAAAACGAAACGCTCACCGTATTAAAGGAAGGAGGCCAAGCTTGAAGAATTATCTCAGTTGGGCGGAAGAAGAAGAATTATAGAAGTGTGATCATAATGTCTGCTAGCGGCGGCGCCGGAGATGAAGATAAGAAGCCTAATGATCAGATGGTTCATATCAATCTCAAGGTTAAGGGTCAGGTATAAACATTTATCGTCGTTTTAATTTTTTGTATGTATGGTATTCTAATATCTTTACTCTGTGTTGCTGTACATGTATATGCGCTCATATGGACTACTATTTTCGTGTTCAGGATAGTGTTTTTTGTGATTAGGTTTAGTTTTTTAAAATAATTGAATGGGGAACGTTTTGTTTGTCTCGGCATGTATGAGAAAACTGCGATTTCATGGTTTGCGTTTGGCATAATACATGAATATGCTCTTTAATTTAAATTCAACTATATCTATGCACTCTAACTTTGATATGTATAAGTAGATAAACTTCTATAAAGTTTGAATAAGTAACACATGTCATTAATGACATAATACATGTAGGATACCATGTAAGATGTCGAGTAGGACCGATATTGTCATGTAGGATGCCAAGTAGCTCATGTGTGTTTATTTATTTAATTCTATACAAATTTAAGTGTACTTGTTTATATTCAAAGTTGGAGAGGCCAAGTTAAAGGGCATGCTTATGTATTATGCCTTAGTATTTTGTTAATAACTCCTAGTAGTCATGAAATCATAGTATTTATAGATGATGAAGTTCTACTAATGCATGATTTCCTTCAATTTGCATGTGATTTGTTGATACATAATCATCAAGTTAATCGGATTGGTCAATTTTCATGTTTTTGTATGCATTCGTGAGTGAACTGTGCACTGTAACAGTGATTTTCATAACGAGTTCACATAGATTGGTTTGGGTGGAATCTTTGTTGTAGACACAAAATTGAGCCATACCTGGCTGCTACCTTTTAATTAGGTTTGAAAACTCGGGAAGTTTGGTAGAAGTTCTGGCATTATGGGAAGTTTATTACAAATCAATAAACTCTTAAGAATGAATTTTTTTTAGATGTTTAATAAAGATCTTACAAAATTTAATACTTTGTAGATCACAACTTACTGTACATAAATGGATAAATGCAGATTGAATTATCCTGTCTTGCCTCTTTACCATTGTATTCTTGTTTTGATAATGTTTGACAATTGTCATGAATATAACTTATAAGCATGACTTGGAATGAATAATCAGCTGTTTGGGAAGTGATCCAAACCTCAATGTAATTGGATTATTTGTCTTAGAGTTGCTATTGGGTCAGTGATTCCCTACACTTTCTTTTTACTTTGGCGTACCTTGAATCTGTAACATTGGCATATGCATGAAACCAAATTTAAACCATTATATTGGTTTTTCAAAAATTGAAACCTGTAAGTTATAAAAAAAAAACATGTTTTTGGGTAGTTTAGTTTGTTTGGCGTAATTTGGGTATATCTACATCTTTTTTCTTTTGACAATAAATAATAAAATTTTCTGCCTTCACCTTTTCTCTTCTTCCTTGTTGGTTCTAATTATGTTCCATTTTATGCTCATGAATTTCAGGTGTTGGCAAATTGTCAAATATTATTTATCTGCTCTATTTTATTTTCATCTTTGTTCACTATACATTGTAAGCTGCATAATTAAGTAACATACATGTGTTATTGCCTTAGTTATACGTTTTTTTGATTTCCATCTAAGAAATGATTGATTCTACAGCATGAGAACATATCCCTATGATGTGGGAAGGTTGCAGTTATTAATTGGACATGTCAATAGGATGCTAGGGATGGAAGTGTGGTATTCTAGGTGTGGGTAGTACTGGTAGCTTGAGTGAGGCCACGATGAAGAAAAGTGATTGTTTGCCTGTAGAGATAACCAGAAGAGGGGATTTAGTATGGCAGAAGACATATCTTATGCTCTGTATGTTCTGTGATAACATGATTACTATTTGGTATCTTTTGGCCTTTTTTTTGGTGAAGTTCAGCGAACAACCTTAGTGAAAGATACAGTCCCTCAATGACTATGAACGAAAACATGCATCCCAACTTTAACATGATCAAGGATAATGTGTTATCACTGAATGGCTGAATGCAATTCCATACATAATGCAACTCCATCCATTAGTTAATATGGAATAAGAGGGAAAAGAAGAACAAGAAACACCCTCCATGTATCAATATTATTGTTGCAAACTTTTTGGTGGTCTTCTGGTATCCTCATTAGTGTCATTGGTACAGGCAAACTCTATGCATTGTATGTTCAGTATTTATGGTGGAAAGTGTAGCCTCCTTCTGCTGTACATCCTCTTGGGCTGGATAAATAGCTTAAACACTTTTTGATACTATGTTCATGGTTAAAAGTTCTTGAGGTGGAACAAGTGTTGTCACTGTTTTGCTTGTGTAAGATTAACCTAGCATCTTTGCAAGGATCAGTGATTGCTTGAAGCTTCCTAGCTCAAATGTGACAGATGATTACAGTCTAATTACATATAGTGTATTATAGCTTGAGGCCTCTGCCTCTGTGGTACCTGCACCCATGTGTAAAATAGACTTTACTCTTCAGTTGACTTAACTTTGGTTCTTCATGTTTCTGTAGTTTACTGAGCTAGTTTTTTTGTGACATCTTCTTTGTATTGTGTTTTTAGACACCTTTTGTCCTAGTTTCTGTCCTCCCTTG